GGAACCGGTGGATCCAGGCAAGCCATCGGTGCTCGGGCGTAGATCATATATCGACGACATCCTGATCCCACCCAATAACTGGGATCAACTATGTGACCGAGTCGAGGGGTTGCTCGAAACGTGTGATAAGTGGAATCTGTCGATCAATGTGGTCAAGAGTTTCTGGGGAATGCTTAAGGTGGAATATCTGGGTCATAAGGTCTCCCACAATGGACTGGAGGCAAACCCGAAGGATCTGTCGGCGTTGACGGATCTAGCATTCCCTGGATCACTCCGAGCCATGCTGTCATTTTTGGGAAGTCTGAACTATTACAGCCGGTTCATTGAAGACTATGCGATCTACGCGTCGGTACTGTACGAATTGCGAGAAATAGACTTTGCCGCGATGACGAAGGAGGCTACTCAAGCGCGGATTCAACAGGTATTGGAAGTGGAGGATGCCGATCAAGGATCGCGGGAAGATCGGGGCGTCGACCACCGCAGGACCTTGGATCGGAAAACGCCCGACCCTATCGAGGTGGATTCGCGTTGGGTCCACGCCCATCCGTCCTTCAACGTGCTTAAAGCCAGAATTGCTACAACTCCGATCTTAAGACACTTTGATCCAGATCGGAAGGCCACAGTGGTGGTGTACGCTAACGATTGGGCCATCTCGGGAGCATTGATGCAAGAACATAACCAGATCTACCATCCCGTGACGTTTGCAAGTCGCACTTTGAAGTCGAACGAGTTAAACTACGGTTTCGTGGAGAAGGAGGTACTAGCCCTTCTGAGGATCCTGGATCTGAATTACAATTCGTTGGTCGGGCGTCCGATCCATGTGTTAACCCGACACTCAACATTGGCGTGGCTTTTCAGATCCACGGCTTTACAAGGACGTCTGGGACAATGGGCCGCTCTGTTGTCGCCTTGGACACTCGAGATTACTAAGTGTGTCAAAGGAGAGGACGAGATCTTGGGAACCCTGGCAGCCAGTATCACCCCTAGATCAGAAGTGGGTAAGGCGTTGATCTCAATCGCTCCAAAAAAAGGAGCCAAGACGCAAGATCCAAGCTCCGATCCCCACTATCGGACGAGATGAGGAACTATATGTCGTCAGGTTTGATGGATCAGCCCGTGTCAAGAGAGGTGGAGGCGCCTACAGTGCGATCTTGTGGAAGTTGCCCGAATGGAGGGTGTTGAAAGCTAGATCAGGGTATGCCGAAGGCTTGACGGTGAATGAGGCAGAATACCATGGGTTGTTACTATGTCTGGATCTGTTGGAGGATCTGGCTCCACAGCGTCTGGTGATCTGCGGAGACTCAAACCAGGTGATCCGACAAGTACGAGGAGAGATCGATTGTAAGGCGTCAGGTCTGACACTGTTACGTCAGCGAGCCTAGGATCGACTACGTACATGACCAGATCACGAACTATTGCACGTCAAACAGGACTGGAATGGGAGTGCTGACAGCCTAGCAAGTGCTGCTCTACAACGGCAGTGCGGGATCGCGATAGAGTCTGATGCAGAGATCCAGGATCTCATAACTTTAAATAGGTTGGATGAGATCCTGATAGTGAAAGTCGAAGAAGAAACTCTACGGGTATCAACCGTGACGTCCCGATCCAAGGTTAGATCGGGGGTGCGTGTGGGATCTGATCCAGAATCCGTACGAGAGGAAGTCGTGAGAGAGCTACGGATCGAGCGGATCCGGCAATCGCAGGACGAAGAGTCGTGGATCATGGGCTTGAAGAAGTATCTAATCGGTGAGATCCGGGATCTGACACAAGAAGAGGCTAAGCTGATCGGATCTATTGCCATGAATTACGAAATGGATCAGCGGGATCTACTCTTCTATTGCCCGACATCTAAGGAAGCGGCAGCAGATCGAGATAAGCTGATGCGACTAGTGATACCTGAGACGCTTCAACAAGACATTCTGCACCACTATCATACGAGCCTACAGGGCGGTCACCAAGGGGTCGGTCGCACCTATGATCGGATCCGTGATCACTTCCATTGGAGGGGTCTGTATAAGAGTGTACAACGATACGTGGGGGAATGTGTCGACTGTGAGCCAGGCAAGGGAAGACTTCGGATCCAGGGCGAGTCGCCTGGTAACCTGCCAGATCATCGCCATGGATCATATACCGTCATTATCTAGATCCTTCAACGGCAACACCGAATTGTTGATCTTCTTGGATCTATTCTCGGGATATGTGATCGCCAAAGCCAGCGCCTCTAGATCCGCTCAGACAATCGCCGAGACCTACGAGGAGTGTGTCTTCCGCCGATTTGGTGCGAGCGAGGTGATCAGACATGATCGGGAGCCAAGCTTTATGTCTGACTTGTCTGATTTCTTTAAGTCGTTCAACAGGATCCTGGAACAACGTCAACGGGCTACTATGGCATATAGGCCCCAAGCCAATGGATCTGCGGAGCGTATGGTCCATACAACTACCAGAGCGCTCAAGATGTACGTGGAGGATCTGGATCAGCGGGATTGGGATGAGTATGCTGAACGGCTCACTTTCGTCAACATTGCAAGAGATCGGATCCGAGGTGAAATCCCTTTCTACATGATACATGGTTGGGATCCTAGATCCACCTTGGAAGCGTTGATCCCGGTGGGGAGCACTCGCAGGTATGACCGAGATCCCAGAAGATGGCGATATCGGATGCAAACGTATTATCAGCAAGCCCGAGAACAAGTGAACCAACGTTTACGCGAAGCGATCGCGGATCGTGGCGACGTGCATAATGATCTAGTACGTCCTCATCCTGTAGGGTCTGGATCAAGGGTCTGGCTATACCTAGATCGAGTGCGCGAAGGTTACGCAAAAAAGCTGGCACACTTATGGCACGGCCCATTCCGCGTTGCCGAGAAAATCGGACAGTACGCTGTGAGGTTGGAGATAGCGGGATCCGCATACAGCATTTTCCCGGTAGTATATGTATCGAAGATCAAACTGGTCAAGGTATTCCCAGATCGACCAGTAGCTCGGCTGAATGGGTCAGAAGAAGATCGGGTGGACTTCGATGAAGCGCTCCTACCGGAGGATAGCTGGATCCAAAAATTGGGATCCGGATGAATACGAAGTGGAACGAATTTCCGATATGAGAGCTGGCAAGAGGACGAGATATGGCCGGATCTACCGAGAATTCCTAGTACATTGGCGCGGATATGAGGATCCGACCTGGATAGACGAAGCAAATCTCAACTGCGGTGCCCTTCTGTATGAGTTCTTGCGAGATCGCACTAATCGCAACCGTTTTGGTGTGATGCAATCTCACGAGGAGCCGTGAGCTGGGGATCTACACTGGTGAGTTGGTCATCAGTGTAGCCGAAAGTAGATGGATCTGCAAGGAGGTTGCAGATCGGAGGACAGAGGTTCTGTGAATTTGTATATGACGATATGTTAACAGAGGATCGAAGTGGAGCGAGATTGATTCTGAGATGGATATGGAATGGGCAGGGTGAATTTCGACTGTGGATCTAAGATTGTATCATTTGAGAGATTATGGATCAAAAGGCGAATGACAAACATGGAGATATAGGTGAACTCAGATCTGGAAATGAATGACATGTATTATGCTTAACGTGAATGATCTGAAGAGAACATGAGGAGAGAGGTCAGGATCATGGCTGAG